ATGGTGGGAGTAAAGGGGAGTTCCGATTTATTCATGCTGAAAAACAGAAAAATTTACTTTCTGAATTCCATCTCAGATGACAACATTACGCACTAACTTCCACATGAATAGGTATTTGATAAAATAATTGTTTGGGTAAGCTTCAGTAATTTCTAAACCTATAAGGTACTGATATTAGTTCCTCTGCAACAAGCAGAGGATAAAGCGGCTTTCACAAATTTGCAGCACCGGTACTAGTTCACAAGACTCCTGAAAAAGAAAGAAGGTATTACGATGCTATGGCAGGCTTCATCGGTCTTAGAAAGGATATCCCAGCGCTGCATATGAAATGCATCGCCTAAGTGAACATCAATTACTTCCTCATGAGTTTTGTATGTCTTTCATTGAGAGCAGAAAGGAACTCAACAGTCTGTTGCTGTTATTAATGTCGATTTCATGTCATGTGTTTTTTTTTTCTGTCTATTAATGCTTGAAGTAACCATATCGCGGGCTATTATTGGTTGGTTTGAAAATATCAGTAATCATAAATAACGTCTGAGCAGTTGTGTAAATGGACTGCTTGTATTTATGTTTTACAGAAATTGGTTGGAAGGGTTTTTACTAGGTTACTTATTTTATAAAGTATGTGATTGGTATTAACGACTTTTTTATCTTTCAATTTCATATTTTGAGGGATAATGAAGTAGGATTCTTTTTATAATTATATTTACTTTGCTGTAGTAAAGTGATTACTTAGAATTTAAACTTGTTAAAAAATTCACAGTTTGGAAAGGAGAATTTAGAGGATTTAGTAGAATTGATTTTTCTAATTGAAGGGTGGGTATTAAAAGGTTTTTATGGGAAGTCAGGTATCTAAGTTAAAAAATTATAGTAGGTTTGAAAAAAAAACGAGAAAGTATTTGCTGATATTTGCGTATAATAGCTGACATTTACGTAGTAGGCGTAAGAGATGGTGGGATGCACGGAGACAAAGTATTATGATTTCATAACAGTATTAACAGTATTAAAAATTCACAGTTTGGAAAGGAGAATTTAATTTATATATTTCTCAGTTTGTTCAGTGACAGCAACTTCTGTGCTTTTCAAATAGAATGTTCTTTAAAAAATAGCCGCGGTTTAATCATGCAGTTAAATCACAGCTCCGAAAGTTTTGTTTTGATTATTCTATTTATATGTGTTTTGATGACAACAACAAAATGCTTGTTAATATTTAATTTTTGTCTCAGTCGTATCGATCGTTTACTTTTTAATGTTTGTTTGTGATGTTTTTAGGTAGTTATCCTTTCACTACATTAGTAAACTGTAAAATGGCTGGAAATTTTTGGCTTAGTTCTCAGTGGTAAGTCTGAAGTAATTTTTGAAGCTTTTGGTTTCTATGTCTTTGTTTCTGCAATTGTTATTTAGTTTTTTTTCCTCATTTTACTTCTGTACCAAACAGAAGCTGACGTTTTTTGAGCGCAGTTATTAATTTTTTTATTAGATTTTTTTCGTTTGAAAATCTCTTTAATGATAAGTTTTCTTTTCAGTGAACAATGGATCTTAGATAAGCAAGATATACTAAGAATGAGAGGTGAGGACCTAAAGATTATTACGGAAGAGGAATACACGAAAGTAATGATATTCTTTTGCAATTGTAAGTTCTTTCGTCATTTGTGTATTTATCCTCTGCGCTAGAGGCAAATTTATATGAGGGACAAGGAGGTTAATTTATATGTGCAATTCATATATTAAGGTTGCTATAAGCCGGTAAATCAAATGAATTCTGTAAAGTGAATTGAATCAAAATAAGTAGGATAGAGTTTATGATGTTTGGAAGTGTTACTTTTTTAAATTTCAAATGTTTACTAGTAGGTTTTGAACGTTCATCAAATTCTTTAAAATTCCGAAGTTTTTTAAACAAGTACCTGAGTAAGGGAATTGCAATGTAGCATTGTTTTGTAATGTTTAATTCATTGGGTTTTTGAAAAATATTTTTTGTAATTTATCGATGACATAATAATATCAAGTAATACTAAGTAAAGTGGCGACAGTTTTCTTAGACGCGTCCACAGGACGGAGATTTTTTATCGATATAAGCAGCTAAGCATATCTTATTATTTTAGAAGAACAGAGATTTTTTGAAATTAAACTAAAATTTATAGGTTATTGGGTGAGTTTGGAGAGGGAGAAATGACTAGCTAACAGCGTTTTTTATTTGAGAGCCGTATGGAATTGATTCGTTTCATGTAGGGAACTGATCATCTTGTGATTGGTAGCGCTAAATAATGGACTGATTATTACTCTGAATTACGAAGTTATCTGTAAAATAACAGTTTTTTATTAAAATAGTATCTCATTTTTTCTTCAAAAAAATGTAGTTGCTCACAATATTTCAAGGTTCCTTGGAGCTTAACCGGTAACTATGATTTTGCGTTTTTGATACACATGAAGGAATAGTTTACAGTAAAAAATTTAGCAGATATACTGAAGTATGGTTGCAAATTTTGAAATATATATGAAATAATGAGGGAGTTCTATGTAATTTAGCTGCGACTGCCTTTTGATGTACAACATTTTGATAGTGCTTTCGCGCTTTTTTAAATCTGTTTTTCATGTGTTACAGTTATTCATGCTATTGGCACAGACGGCCAGAGTCAGCCGAAAATGAGAATGCAAGTTATAGCGACAGCTTGTGTATATTTTAGGAGGTTTTATGCGAGGTGAATTATTAGATAATTTATGGAAAGTTTGAAATTTTCAGTACTCATACTTGCTTTCTTACTGCTTTCCGCAAATACTTTTTAGGCGTTCGCTGAAAGACATTGATCCATTTTTGTTGGCCCCCACCGCATTATTTTTGGCCTCGAAAGTTGAGGAGCATGGAATGATGTCTACTAGTAAGCTTACCACTGCTACGAATAATGCATGTAAGTTGGCCTTGTACATGAAACGGTTTTAAAACTTTTTTGGTTGAAAAGTGGTTTATATTTTGTTTTGTATTTTTGACTTTAGTGAAGAAATGGCCATACATTCAGCAAGAGCTTGTTATTCGGCCGCAGAATATTCAAGAGGCTGAGTTTATTCTTATTGAAATAATGGACTGCAGTCTTATAGTGTATCATCCATATAGGTGATTTGTTTTGAAATTTATTTTTTGTTTAAGATTGAATAATAATGTCATTTATGGGTTGCAATGGGCGGTAAAAGAGCAGACTATTATCTGTGCTTTAGTTTTTCATATTACTGATCTTTAGGCCAATGAATTTAATGATAAATGATATGAAAAGTCAGCTAATGAACGACATGAAGAGGGAACAGAAAGATTCGCGAGATCAGAGGACTTTGGTGAACGTTGAACATAAAGATATTGAATCTTTGGCGGCAACTGGCTGGAAGATTTGCAATGACTGTACGCGTACCGACCTTTCTTTGATGTATCCGCCATATCAAATCGCTATAGGTTATTTTTTATTGTTTTTACATTCTCTTTTTAAAAATTATTCTTTTTGATCTTTGTTAAATGTTTACTATTAAAGTCGCCAGTGCATTGAGTCAGCTAGTGCTAATGATTGAAGTGCTTTAGCTTGTTTACTTGTTGCTTCAATTTGGATTAACAAGGAACGAGAGTTGAAGAACTGGTTTGCTGAGTTAGCAGTAGATCACGAAAAGGTCTGTTTATTGGATTTATATTTTTCTGAGAAATTTTTTTGGACTTGATTTCTCCAAGAGCGAATTCTTTTAGATTTGGGAGATCATTAAGCTCATTTTGAATTTCTACAGTATTTGGAAAACTTTTGATGAAAAAGAACAATTAATGCCAATATTACAAAAAATGCCGCGCCCAAGTCCCGGTCCTCAAAATAGTAGTGGTAATGGTATGGTACAGTCGCATTCTCATGGTAACCTCTCTATGAACAATATGAATGTTCACCAGAATATCAGTATGGGTCCGCCACAGATGCCACCCACAGGAAGTTTGCCTCATTAGCCGTTTTAATTCTGCTCAGATGCATCTTAATTTTTCTACATTGTACATCTATAATTTGTTATTTTTTATATAATATCTAAGCATATTTTTTATTCTGACAGCTATTAACCTTTTGCTTGTTTTAGAGAGTAAATGTTGTACATATTGATATACGTTTCATATATTTGTCTTTCAGTTGTCTTTCAGTCTCTTTTTTAAACTAAAAACTTTAAGTGCAAAAGCACGTCTATTTTCTGTTTGGTTTTGAAACCCATCGGTTGGGAGAAATGAAAGACTGGGTTTGAAAGATGAGTTTTTATGAAGTCATGTTGTCGAGGTTTAGATAACGGGTAATAGAGTCTCAATTTTAGCTTTTATTAGGCCTTGTTTTTCATTGATTTACTTTCCTGTCTGACGTTTTTTAAACTTTGCTTGTTATTCTATACATTTTGTTATGAATTTGAAGTGTCATCTCAAGTTTCTTTTTTGTGCAGTGGGGTGGCTTCTGCTTAGTCCGTTGATTTAGTCGTATTTGTTGTGATTTAATGGACTTCGTTTTGGCTGAATAAATTATTAGCTGCTGTTTGTTTTATGAATAGTATAGATAGTAGAGATCTGGCGGCAACTAGCAGCTTTTTATAAAAGTTATTAAGCTTAACAAGTTTTTGAGCTGTATGCACTGATTATTTATGAATGTAAAGGTGGTTTGAGTTTGTGCTTTTAATTTTTGAACGGGGTGATGTTTCTTGGGGCATTTTCTAGATTTTCTCAAATCTAGACATTTTTAGTGGTTATACTGCAAAAATATTATATTGGAAGAGTCAGGACGTTACGCACAGAGTTTGTAGAAGCATAAACGTGAGAAAGGAATAAATTTATAGCTTTAAAAATATTATATTAGAAGGGTCAAGATGTTATACACAGGATATGTAAAAGCATAAACATGAAGAAGGAATAAACTTGAGTGTTTAGATGTGTCACTTTTTTTTCCCCCATAAAGGCCATCCGAAGAAGGAACCGAACGAATATGGTCCTCCAGGCGCCATAATGGAATTGGTGTCTGAAAAGTGAAGTTGAGAGATGTTGGATAAAATGGTTGAGGTTAATCGTTACTGACAACTTTTGTAATCCTGGTTCTGTCGAAGAGTAGCAGTTAAGGATGGCTTTTCTTGTGGAAGAGGTTAACAAAGCAAAGAGGCTTTTTTGATTGAAGTAAAATGGTTAGGAGAGGATCAAGAGGTTAAATTGGGTGAGTTGATTGTAAGGAGTTTTCAGAAGTTTGAGGAGAGGTCAAAATTTGGTTGGTTTTGTTTACTTGTGTTTGATTCAGTTAAAGAACAATACGAAGATTGAAATGAAAAGGAAGTTTCAGTGAGAAGTCTATAAAGTTGGCATAATAAAATATTAAGGAAATTATTTTTAGCAGCATTTTTTTAAAACTTTGATTTAGATGACTCATCTTGTGAAAAATAAATAAATTTGGGATGACTCAGAAATGTGAGTTGCATTTTGGAGTAATCCGCTTAATAAATTTCATATATTTTATAACCTGCTGAGCATAAATTGCATTTTGTTTACAGTAGAAATCAGTTTTTGGATCAACGCAGTATGAATATTAAACCAAGTTATAAAAGTTAGTGCTTTGTATGGAGGCAAAATTGGAAGGAAGAGGGTGAGAAAACAGAAGGAAAAAGTCGATTTATTTAAAAAAGCTAAAAAATTCTATAAAAAATTACTGACGTTTTTACAACCATACGGCATCAATAGGTAATTGCCCTTCTCACTTCCAAGTCACTTTTTTATGGTGGTTATTCAGGAAATCGACGAAGCAAAAAAAAAGCACGTGGGCTTGCTGTTGAAATGGTTATCAAAGTATGAAATTTTTATAGATAACGATTCAAGAAGTTACAGCAGAATGTGATAATAATTTTAAAAAAAAAAAAATTGTTTGCTGTAACAGAGTAGAATGGCAAAAATTTGCGCTTTTTTGGTGTCAGAGATTTGCTATACACTTTTGATATTTATTTCTTTCACGTTGATTTCGAAAGGAAATTGACTGCCTGTTCATTGAACTGAACCTCCATTATTCGTAAGATTATAAAAAATATTTCGTGGTCAACCAGGCGGTTACTTTGCTCAAAAATTTTACGCTACACCTACGTACTGACTTAATTAGCAACTACCGTAGTTCCAGTTAATACTGGCAGTCTGGTGGCAGTTACTTAGGCAAGGTATAAAAAAAAGAATTGGAAAACAATCTGGAAATTTAGATGAAGGACTAACTTTTGGAATAGAATTGGTTTGATCCGGCAAGCCAATTGGTATTGCCGTTATATCCGTAGCCAAAGAAATTCCATAGCGTTCCAAGGTCAACACGTGGTCGACCATAAGGATCTTGGGCCACACCAACCATAACGGGGTTGACAGCAACCCATCCTGTAAAATTTCAAATTTTTTAAGGTAATTTTTTTATACTGAAGAAAGTATGTATTTTTTGTTATTAACATTTTCTTACCAAA